GGACTTTGCTCAAAGTCTGTGTGAACCCTCCAAACTGAAATTATCTCATCCAAAGATATATTACATGTAGCAGTGTTTTAGCAATACGCTGAGTGCCTTGCTTATTTTCTCCTTGTTGTAAGAAAATACCCTGAAAGAAAAAAAAATTGCCTTTCCACGGGGACACAATCTACCATTGCAGGAAAGCATGGCAGAGACAGGGAAAGCATTGATAGAAGTAGGCTGCTGGCTGGTCACATTGAATCCATATTCAGGAAACTAAAAGTAAGAGGAAGCAAAACTAAGCTATAAAGACCCAAGGCCCGCCCCCAGGACACACTTCCTCCATTGAGGCTCCACCAAAACTAAGCTATAAAGACTCAAGGCCCGCCCCCATGACACACTTTCTCCAATGAGGCTCCACCAAAACTAAGCTATAAAGACTCAAGGCCCGCCCCCCGTGACACACTTCCTCCAATGAGGCTCCACCACTTCCCAAACTGCACTGCCTGTTGGAGATCAAACTTATGTGCTGAGCCCATGGGGGCACATTTCCATGCAAATCATCACAGCAATTCCCATGAAGGAATTTAACTTTACGTGTAGTAACATTGAGTTTATATAAGTAAATGTATCGTAATGTACAGATATCATATACGTATGTAGAACTTCATAGCTTCCTGGTGATTGTTCAGTGACCTCATCTTCCTTTAATTTCATTTTGAGTGTCGTCATTACACTTGCTTCTGATGGGGCACTGACGAATTGAGGTGCCTGGGAATGAGATTCTAAGTCAGTTGACTTTATTACTGTATTCCACCTATCCAAATAGGTCCTAATCAATCCTTTCATTTAAAGTAATAATCTTTGCTAATATAAGCAGGAGTGTGGCAGCTTACTACCGTATTCGGCTATAGCAGCGTGCAAGGAGATGCATCAGAAAATACAGCATGAAAGGTCTTCATGAAGACACTCCCTCAAAATCATAAGATTCACATGGTTTGCCCCGTGTATGCTAGAAGGAGATCCCTTGCTATACCCCATTCTGGGCAGCATCAGCCATTGCCGAGTACCCTGAACCTAAACTAGAATAACATTGCATTATAATAGGTAGATAACGCTCACGGTATTTTCTCAATTATGTTTTTCTCATTGAAAGCTTTGGTGTAGTATTATTGTTCGCTGGTGTGTTAGCGCTGCCAGCAGATTGTTCTCAGGCACTTGTTGAAATGAAGTGAAATGAATTTCTTCTGTGAGGCCAGCAGTAAGAAAATGAAGGAACATGCAAATGTCAGATGAAGTCAGGTCACTGCCTTTCCCCTGTGTCCTCAGGTTTTGCTTGAGGACTTTGGAGGTGGTGCTTAAGGGTGTAGACATACATTACTTGATTTTTCTGCTAACAAAATGGTTCTTTATCATAAGATAAAGTGAGATGGTTAAACAAGCCATTCCTTTGTCTTGTCCATGAAATCTAGAATTGCTGAGGCTTAGACAAGTCTGTGAACTCTAGTGGGAGGAGACAAGGAATGGAAATGGGGGGAGGTGAGTGGGTTGCTTTTTCGAGAGCTCGGAGTATGTTCTGTTTATCAGCTCGTGCTCCCACAGGGTCCTGCACAGTGTGCCCTCCCATCAAGGCTGGTGACATCTGCCTCACTGTTGTCCCATAGCTGGTAGTTAGAGGGCAGACTGTGTCCTTCAGGCCTGTGTAGCTGCTTCCAGAGTCTAGATGTCCAGGGTCCAGATTCTTGCCTGAAAACCTGGGGGAGCCAGTCCTCTGTGTTCAAGGTCTCCCCCTTTAACAGCTAAGGGGCTTAGCTTGCATTTATAAGTCCTGCTATTAGTGGAGAATGCCTGGGGGTCCCCCTGACTTAGTCATTACAGCGTAACCACGTGAGACTCCTATAGTGTATATTCACCTACTAACTGCGTATTTTCTTTTGGTGTATGGTGTATGCTTTTCCAGTATACATCTAAATGGATATACGTTTATATACATCCAACTCAGTGGACTCTTTCTTCCTACCTCTCCTGGTCAAGGACACCTGTGGCCTTCGTGTTGCCCAGTCCAGCGGGAGTTTTCAGCTGTTATTACCCTTCGTCTGTTAGGAGCCCGTGATGCATTATTCCTCCTTCTTAATTACTTGCTTGCTTTGACTTGGTTCCCCAGGACAGCTTCTCTTTTTCATTTACCTGCACTCCGCCTCTTGACTTTAAATACACAATCATACTCTGTAATGGTTTGAAAGAAAACGGCCCCCAAAGGGAGTACCGCTATTAGAAGGTGTGGCTTTGTTGAAGTAGGCGTGGCCTTGTGGGAGGAAGTGTGTCACTGTGCAGGCAGACTTTGAGTCTCATATATGGTCAAGCCACGCCAGTTACCTGCAAGATGTAGGAACCTCAGCTCCTTCTCCAGCACCAGGTCTGCCTGCATGCCACCATGTCCCACCATGATGATAACGGACTGAATCTGACCTCTTTGCCTTCTCCTGTCACCCTGTTCCAGATCACTAAAGTCCCTGGCAGACTCCTCCCTGGCCCCTTTTCCTGCCCAGACTCTGTTCAGCTTGTTCTCATTCCAGCACAGGCCATAATGCCACCCCAGTGCCCATTTCCATGGACTTGGTTCTCAGAATAAAAATCACTGTCTTTATGACACCCTGCTTGTCCTCATTCACAAACCTCATGCACTCCTTTCCTCCTGTCTCTCTCTGCTTACTCTTACTCATCTGCAGACAAAAGAGGCTCTTGGCCCCTATCTCGCCCCAGGAATGTTCCCTCCTCAAGGTCTTTGTACCAGTGGGTGCCACGATACCTAAGTTCTCACACTCTCAACTCCTACAGGAATCTGCTCAGGGGCTTCCTTGCACTGTGGCTGATGCCCTGCTGACCTTTGCTGTTCCTCAGGAAGCGTCTCCCCTACATTCCTTCACCCTTCTCGGTTTTCTTCAGCAGAGTGAGTGAGTGCCCAGGGAGCATGGCTTTTACTTAGACACCATCACTCACGTGTCTCAATACACATCCGTGGGACACAAACAAGGCAACGTGACCTCCATCTCACTGATTGCAGGCTTCGCCGCTGTTTCCCAAGTGTTGGTTCCAAATCTTCATTTTAAGAATGCCTAAGAAAAATACGCACTGTTCTGAATGAAGTTACTCTCCCTTGCCCGTCTCTCCTCTCGAACCTCACTCTGGAGCAGTTTATTGGGCTGATCTCTGCTGTGGAAAGGAAGGCAATTCTTTCCTCCCTGTGGGAAAATGCTTAGACATTCCGCTGCAAACATCACATATTTATCACCAACATTTACATAGCTCTGGCTGTTCATATTACTACTAGAAATCAAGAGAATAAAATCTTCTCATGTTGGACTAAGTGCTACCAATGAAAGCAGAGACTCTTGGGACTTCTTCCCCCGCCCCTGGCTGAGTTATTACTTCCTGCCTAGGCAGGAGCCTTCTACTGTATATTCATAAACCAATTCCATTTTATCTTTGGTATAGTCTGTATTATTTGCATGTGATCCATGCAAATGGTGTGGCCTACTAGTCTGGTTGTTTTCTAGAGCAGTTATGTGTGTGTTTAGTGTCTTTTCCCCAAGAACCCCAGTGACTGTGCTCTGTTCCGGCAGCTTCAAGGAGTCTGGGTACCTGACAGTTCTTGCTGACCCAGCCAGAAGAGGCCAAATGATTCATTTCACTTTCAGGGACTATTACTGGGTTTCCATATACCCTGGCACTATAAATAGCACTCCAGGGAGCACTCAGGCACACAGAACATTTTCTTTGCAGTCTAGCTCGATATTTGCAGAAGAAAGTCACATGCTGTCTGGTTTGACACGAGTCACCTGCCCCTTAGTGGCTCCCAAGTTCTAAACAGAACCACCCAGAGTGCTCTGATCACACGCAGCAAACACTGTTACCCTTGTTTGTACTCCTGAGTATTCTTCTTTCTACGTGGTGCTGTGTGTGTGTGTGTGTGTGTGTGTGTGTATGTGTGACGCGCGCGCGCGCGCGCACGTGCGTGCGCATGCACATACATCCCTGAGGGCCAAAGGTTAACATCATATGTCTTTATCAATTGCTTTACACTGTATTTGGGGGAAGGGTCTTGCACTCAGCCTGGAGCACATGATTCTGCTCCATTGGCTGGCCAGTGTGAGGGCCTGGATCTCCTTGTCTTCAATCCCCTCACTCCCACCCCCTGACCCCCGCCACGCCCCCAAGCTGGGATTCCAAGCACACATAGTCATATTCAGCTGTTTCATACAAGTTGTACGGCTCATGCTCGGGGCTCCCCAGGCACGCACTTTTCTGACTGAACCATCTCCTTAGCCCTCTACTTATTCTCCAGGGGACAAAGCTTTGTCTGAGTGCTGGGGTGCAGTACTGTCTACTCCTTCTCCTTGAAGCGTCACATAGCAGTTGCTGTGGCTTCCTCTTCCGCAAGGTCATCAACTTTATGGTACAGTTTAGTTGGCAGCCAAGGTTCACACTTCCATCACTCCTTTCTCTCTTCATACCCCACACTGTGACTCTTGGCTCCTCAGATGTCTAGTTGTCTCCAGCGGGTAACATAAGAAATACCCAGACACTGTTAGGGAATGAATGGCTGATGGTGTCATTGCAATCACACAGGAGAACCAGACTCCCTTGACTCTACTTCCTGCCCAATGCCTTTAAAAACAGTCATGTGTTTAGTTTGGACTTTTCTGTTCTCCCTAGCAAATACCCTGTGCTATATGCTCAGCCAATTTGAGAAAGAAAACAAACAAACAATAATGTCATTATATTTAAATATATGGCAGGAACTTTTTGCTGTTTTACTTTGCCCCCTACCCCCACCCCATGCCCTTTTTTAACCCCAGAGAGACAGGCCAGCTTGTTCCTCAGCCTCATTCTTCCCAGGGCTCTTTTTGCCCTGCCAAGTCTGCCTTCAAATTCCTCAGGTCTGCTGCTGTCAATAATGATTTCGGAGAGCTTGTATGTTCTTTGCAGTGAAAACCCCCCTTGTTTTCTGTTGCTAGGAAACCCCCTTCCAGCTGCCACTGAAGACATGTGCGGTGGTGGGAAACGGTGGGATTCTGAAGATGAGTGGCTGTGGCCGTCAGATAGATGAAGCAAATTTTGTCATGCGGTAAGAGAGCACCCACAGTGCGGCCTCTACGCCTCTCCTCCTTCCCACCCTTCTGTGAGCCCAGGGCCTTTCAAACCTAGCGGCTTGCGAGTAATCCCCTGTTGCCTGTCTTTAGCTTCTCTTCAGGCCCTTTCACAAGTGAGATTAGGAGTGCACTGAGGAGCAAGGGAGCTTTCCCCCAAGAAATTTCAGCGCCCACAGTGGCGGAGGTAAGGGTAAGGGCTCAGGTCTTCCCTGGGATTATACACTTGGGTGATTAAAACCTTGAAAGTTGCTGTTTCCTCAGGGCTGACTCCGTATGAGTAAACGTTTTAGTCTTGTAAGTGTACCCTTTCTCCTTAGTTTTCCACAGAAGTATTTGAATGGAGCAAGTGGATGGGGTTGGTCTGCGTGTGACTATGGAACTGACAAGAAAGACGGGGAGGGAACTTCATATCACAAGGGGTCTTGGTCAAGGGACCAAGTAGCGAGGGGGCGTGGGTACACAGACATGAGTTTTGGTAAAGGACAAGAGGTCCCTTCAGGGCAGTGATAAAAACTGCTAAGCCTGACCAAGGGAAGATACCTTCAAACTGCAGCCGCCAGCCTGTGCTGGGAGTGTGAGCAAACACTGGTGCACATGGAGACTGCTCGGCCGAGACGGAAGAAAGGTGGAGGGTTAAGAGGGCGGGCTCTAGATAAAAGTCACGTGAGGTGACACATGCCAAAGCCAGGCCAGGGTAAGGAGTGGGCTGTGCAATGAGAGGTATGATGAAGGGCCATTGGCACAGAGCCATTCAGAGTGGGGTTATGGAGTGGGGGGAGGTGAGCTCAGGGCTAAGCACTGCCACCCCCGGGGCTAGAGGAAACAAAAGAACTTTGAGAGGTTGGGAAAATCTTTCATGTGAACCCCAAAATTTCCAGGACATAGGAATGACTGTGAACCAGGAACCCAAGGGTTCTGTAACCAGAAGTGTGGTGATGCATTGTTTATGATTTAATAAAGCCACTGGAGATCAAAATGCAAAGCCAGCCATAGCCATAGGGCCAGGCAATGGTGATGATACACCTTTAATTCCACCAGCCACACTTGTTAGCTATAGAGGCTGGGCAGTGGTGGCACAGGCCTTTAATCCCAGGACTCAGGAGACAAAGCCAGATGGATCTCTGTGAGTTCAAGGCCACCTGGGGTTACATGAGAGTGAATCAGTCTAAAAGAGAAACAGCTCACACCAAGAAGATCTCAGGACTTGGGATCCCACGCCTTTAATCCCAGCACTAGAGAGCTTTATAAGATAGGAGCAGGGCATTAAGTATTCAGTCTGAGATTTATTCTCCAGCCACGCTGAAGACAGGATCAGCCCTTTCAGCCTGAGGTAGAGGTAAGAGTTAGTGGCCCGCTGCTTTGCTTTTCCTATCTTCATCTTGAAGCTTGAACCCCAGTGTCTGTGTCTGGGTTTTTATTATTCCACATCTTGTAGCATATTCTTATGCTACAAGAAAGGACTTAACTTTGATTCCTGGCATCTACCTCAAAAGCCAGCCATATTCATGATTCCAGAGGTAGGGAGGTGGAGACTGGAGGATGCCTTGGGCTTATAGAACAGCCAGTCTGGTTGAATTGATGAGCTTCAGGTGAGAGACCCTGATTCAAAATATAACAGGGGGAGTAGCTGAGGAAGACACTTACAGACCGCTAGCCTCTAAATGCACGTGCTCACACACAGATAGACACGACTAGGGTAGCCTTTTACACAATCTGCTGTTGATACTACACAAGTTCAGAACTACCTAGTGCCTGGGGGATTAGAAAGCATGTGTTGTGCACAAGCGAAGTGGGGAAAAGGTCTCCCGTAGCCTTGCCTTTACAGTAGACCCAGATCACAGTCCAGACTTCCAGGCCTGTCCTTCAACCATTCAATGTTCCTTGCACAGACAGTTTTAAAACATATCCTTCAAAATGTTAAAAAACAAAAAATACCCCAGTTTCCCATTTGTCAAAGTGCACATTTATTCTTTAACCAAAAGTAGCACTTGAAAAATAATCTTGTGGGGCTGGGTGTGTGGCTCAGTGAGAGGGTACTTGCATCAAACTGCGTGTGTCAGGGCTCGTCTCTGGTCCCAGCATTGGGAGGTGGATCAGAAGTTTAGGGTCATCCTTGGCTGCAAAGGGAATTTGAGACGTTCCTGGGCTACAGGAGAACCTGTCTCAGAACAACAGCAACAGATTCGTGAATTCAGTTTCTCTAGAGCATGGACACGGCAGAAGTAATAATGATCACACATTGAAGACAGACTGTGTGGCTCACAGTCACTGTATGGCAACAGTTTTGGAGCCTTCCGGATTGTGTGAAGTGGAATGTTCTGCATGCATGCGGGCACACACACACACACACTCACACACACACACACAGACACACACGCACACACACACACACACACGCACACACACACACATGCATACACACACACACACACGGGCACACACACACACTCACACACACACACAGACACACACACACACGCACAGACACACACACACACACACAGACACACACACGCACACACACACACACACTCACACACACACAGACACTCACACACATGCACAGACACACACACACACACAGACACACACACGCACACACACACACACACTCACACACACACAGACACTCACACACATGCACAGACACACACACACACACAGACACACACACGCACACACACACACACACTCACACACACACAGACACTCACACACATGCACAGACACACACACACACACAGACACACACACGCACACACACACACACACACGCACACACACACACACGGGCACACACACACACATGCATGCGCACACACCCATAACTGTGTTTTTCCTTTGTGGAGTCTTCTGTCAAGCATACCCTTCCTCACCCATCTCCTCTTTCCTTCTTGGATCCCTTTCAGGGTCACAAGCATCACCATTATAGAGACGCTTTCAACAACTAATATCTCTCTCAATTGTGCCAACAAGCAATAATGTGAAATCTGGGACACTTTATACAATTATGCCTTATTAGAAACAATTTGACTGTATTAAATGGGCCTTTTATGCAAATCTATGTAATTATCAATTTAGGAATTGAGGCGCTAAACGCATCGTGCACTTTCCCTAAGAAAAGAGATGCAGGGAGATGGCCCTGTTGTTGGTGCTGGAAGAGAATGTTTACAGAACAGAAGGCAGACACTTCATCAAAACGCAGTCATCGGTTTCAGAAAGCCAAATGTAAAATCTGTCTTGCTGTCAGCGCCCCTCTGTTACAGGGTGGGGAGAGGGGGGAGGAGGGGATCACAGCCTGGGAATTCTATTGTTGTTTCGGTTTTGGGATTTTTTTGTTTGTTTATTTATTAACAAAACTCTTCTTGAGGTTTTACTCTTGCTAGAAGATATAAATGGATCCAGGCATATGAATCATGGGACACAGAAGAAAACAAAATAGTTGTACATGAAAACAAATTTATTATTGACAAAGCAGGTTACTGGAACTTCCTCACAAAGTTTAGACTCTACAGTTGATTCTTAAAATGTTAGCAAGAGTAGTCCAGATCAAAGCATCCTGAAGGAGGACATCCAGATTTTAGCCTGTGTGTTATTTGGGAAGCCATCTTGTCTTTGCAAAGATCAGTTAATTAGTGCAATCACAATCAGTGCCATAGAACTGCTATGGGGTGTGGCTACTGATGACTTGAGTTCACTTTTCTTCAAGACCCCTTGGGAAGCCACATGGGCTATGGTGTTGCCAAGGGCTTGTAGGTGCCTCAAGAGTGGGCATTGTGACCATCTCCTTGTCTTTCTACAGTGCTCACTGTTTGCTTTCAGTGAACAGTCAACAAGTCACCAACTGGCTGGCTGACTGACTTGTGTGTAGTTACAAGAAAATCCGGTTTTTTATTACCCACAAACAGATGAAAGGGGGATATTTTTTTTTTAAATCAACATGGAGATGCTTCCGCCTGGATGGCCTGGTGTGGCTGGAGTCATGGGGCTCAGAAGAAAGAGGGGGTCGGGTCAGCTGATAGGTGCCTGGGCAATTTCATCTACCAGGGCACATTGGTAGGGGAAATTCAGCAGATCACAGAGATCACAATGTTTGTAAAAACATCTTTATCTATAAATAAATCCCACAAGTTAGACATGCCCTGATGTGGCAGGAGTCAAGTCCGGCATGTGGTTGGAGAGGAGAGATTTCTGTGGTCTTTCTGACAGGATGGTTTTGAACTTTGGTTGTGTGAAACATCAAAACAGAGACTTTTAGCAGCATTCTCTTAGTTCTTACTGTGGCCCAGGAAGGATGCAGAGTTGTTACCCTAGAGTTTGGTCATGGAGGAACTATGGCCAGGGAAATGCATGAACCCGATGCCCACAGGTGGAAAGCCACAGGTATGGATGTGAAGCAGCAGTGTTTCCCACTGTATATACAGAAGGCATTATGGCCGTAGGAAATAGTTAGGGCGGGGATGGAGTTTGGAGGTACGAGTGGGGTGACTGCTTTCTCTTGTGGAGAACCCATCACCTCTTAGGCTGGGATGATGGCTTAGTCGGTAGAGTACTAGCCACACACACTTGAGGATATGCATTCCACCCCCCTCAGAAAAAGCAAAAGCTAGGCATCGTGGCATGTTCTGTAATCCCAGTGCCATGGAAATGGAGACAGGAGAATCCTGGAGCTCACTGGCCCCTGGTACAGCCAAGTCAGTAGCTCCAGGTTCAGTGAGAGACCTTGTGTCAAAAAATAAGGTAGACAGTGATGGGGGGGGTGCTTAATGTTGACTTCTGGTTTCCACACACACACATGGGAGGTGCACTTGTGTAACACATGCATGTGTGTACACACATGAGAACATAACACACACACACACACACACACACACACACACACACACACACACACACACATACAGGAATGGTACAAAACACTGCCATTTTTTGGGTGACAACACCTTCTGTTATCACCTTAAACCACCTACACCTTGGCCATATATACAAAATCATCCATGCATTAGGTTAGCTGAACACAACTAACACAACTGCCATAATGTTAATCTTTGGGAAGTAAAGAAAACCAAGGGAAAACAGTGTGACTCATCAGGGTTTATACGGAGGTAGAGGCTATAGGGTGGGGCGTCTGCCCTCTGCCTTCTGAGCCCTGATTTCAAGCTTAAAGTGCTCTGTTCCACCACTTCAGATCTGGCTTCCTTTTTCATCACTCATCAAGTTTCATTGTATTTTATTTTATGTGAATGTGGATGCTTGTGAGAGTTTATATGCACCAGCAGGTGCCAGCAAGGCCCAGAAGAGGGCATCTGATCTCCTGGAATTGGTTTTACAGACAGTTGTGAGCTGAGAGTTGTAAGGGTGCCTCATCCTCTGCAAGAGTACTAAATAGTCCTAATGGCTGAGCCATCTCTCAAGCCTGTTACAATGAATCTTTCTGCCAAAGCCGCCAAGCCCCACCTCCATGTGTGCGCTCTACGCCAGCCGCCTGCCTGAGTTAGGGCCCCCATGAATGCACTGAGAGACTTGTATTAGGTACAATGCGCTTGGCCAATGACTAGGATTCTCATCTGTTAGCTCAGTCTCAATGATCATAAATTTGCATATTTTATAAGACTTATCTTATAGAGGATGCCTTTCGCTGGTGCCCTCTCTTGCCAGTGGCTCACATCCCGCCGCTGGAGGAGGCGAAGGGGAAAGAGGGACACTTCCTGTTTCCTTTGCTTAAATGTGAGTCTCCTTGCTATGCCACTTCCTGCCCGGATCACCACTTCTCTACTACATTTCCCAGAATCCTCTTTGACTCCTAGTCCTGTCAAACTTGCTGTTTCATTGGCCAAACAGTATTTTATTCAATAATCAATAAGATGAACATACACAGTACATTCCCCATTACAAGCCCTTATTTATTTATTTGTGTTTGTATTTGTATTTTTGATACAAGGTTTCATTCATGTAGCCCAGGCTGACCTCAAGCTCACTATATAACCAAGGCTGCCTTGGGCTCTGCATCCTCTACCTCTCACGTATGGGATTACAGGTGTATGGCATCAGGCTTCTAGTAAATTTTCAGCAAAAGATACATTGTAGTTATCATCTCTTTTCTCTGGTAGAACATTTACTTCTGCCATATCTCCTAAAACAACAGCAACAACAATAACACACACCAAAAAAAAAAAAAAAAAAAGGAAAAAAAAAGAACAGGAAGGAAGAAGGGAAAAAAAAAACAAGCCCCCCAGAACTTTAGTGGCTTTAGTGGTGCTAACGGTTAATTAGTCATCTAATGGCCATGAAAAAGGGAAGGTGCTGCAAGCAGTTATTTGTGAATTGAGCCAGAATTAACATTCCTATTTGTGTGCCTATGATGGACTTGATTTGAAAGTACATGAGTCATTCTGAAAGGTTCCTTCTTGCATTTCTAGGTGCAATCTCCCTCCTTTGTCAAGTGAGTACACCCGGGATGTCGGCTCCAAAACTCAGTTGGTGACAGCTAATCCCAGCATAATTCGCCAAAGGTAAGATTTCATGGTTTCCCTTTGTGGGGACTGAAGAGGAAGGTTTGTGAAGTCATCAGCATCTTACAGGGTGTGAGCATAATTCATCCCGGAAAACAAAGAGGGAAGCCATCTGGACCGGCAGGAAGGATGGAGCAGGGAATCGTAAATAAGCTAGGCGGTATGATGGGAGTCCTCTGTATTTCACGCTTCCCCTGGGCTTTGGCTTCTCTCTGTTAGAGATGGTGTGAATGACAGGAGGATCCATTGTTCTGCTCCGAGCACAGCGCAGCGTCCTGCCCACTCATTACTACTCCAATCCAGCATGCTGGCTCTGGTCTGACTTTCCAATCAGCCACTGTGAACTGACTTATTAAACCAAAAACAAAGAAATGACCAATTTGCCACATGTACACATCAAGACAGCAATGTTTTCAGAATGCACAAGAGTGTGCTGTTATACGAGATTGACTACCCCATATCAGACTTTGGGGGCAGATGGAAAATTCCCAATTCCAGAACACTTGGCAGCCACTATGGGAGCATTTGGGGGTCAGTCTCCAGGTGATGAAGCCCACTAGTGAGCTAAGACTGTTTGGAAAGTGTACGGGACACACACACTGAGTCTGTCCCACTGTATTTCAGGCTTGTTCATTCAAGTACCCTTCAAAATAATCTAAAGAATCCTATCATTTTCTTCATTGTCATCAGGTTAGCTAGGATTTTGGGCAGCAGTTAAACTGTAGATTTCCTTATTTGTTACTTGTATCCTTCATGTGCACATTGCTATTGTCAAATCTCAGAGTGGTTTTTTGGTTTTTGTTTGTTTGTTTTTGGTGTGCCCTGTCCTGATGTGGAAGCCTGGGACTTCTGTCACAAAGACTGCCTTTTATATTCAGGCAAGTGTTAGTGTGTCACTGGATACATCCTGTCCCTGACAGCTAATTATTCAACAGAAAATACGGTACGGGGACCTGCCAGGAGTTTGTCCTGAATAAGATAAAGCATAGCACATTTAGTTTTCTTCCAGAGATACCGACCTTAACCCAGGAGATGACTCCTCTGTTGTGAATGTGTCCTTCTGGGGCCTGGGGGTTTTGCAACACCAGACTTTATTCATGAACATGTATGTTCTTTCTGTTGCTTCTCTGCCCCTCTTGTGCATGTGAACGTGTGTCTCCACACACATGTAGAGGCCCAGGCCAGAGGTCAACACTGTATGTATTTCACAATGACTTTTCCATCTAACTTTCTGAAACAATATTTTTCCGAAAACCCATATTTTCTCATAACTAAATTTAGACTTTGCTGATTAGCTGTGCTGGCTGGCCAACCTGCAAAGCCCAGGATCCTCACACCTCTGTCTCTCAAGTGCTGGGGTTACAGGCCCCCAGTTTGACACACGGCTTTTATGTGGGGCTGAGGTTCTGAACTCAGCTCCTTACGCCTGGGAGCAAGCCCTTTATGAGCCGTTTTCCCGGCTTCCTAGCAAACACTTGATGTACTTACTTTTCAAAAATATACTATGACTTTTAAGGAAAGTAGCCTGTGCTTAAAAAGATCAAAGCAGTGTCTCTCTAGAGTTTATGAGTTGTGTCTTAGATGGTGTTCCGGAAACTTCTGTCCCTTCTGCTGACTTCATTTTCTCTTCTCTTCAAACTCAGAGCAGTGTTTCCCTGTCAGCACCAAGTTAGCCATTCATGTGGCATCTGCAGTGTAGCAAGACATGAGAAAGCAAGACCTAAAACTAGAACTGAGCATAGTGGAGATGAGAAAGAAATGTCCCTAGGAGGCTGTGAATCACAGTGCTTCTGTGAGAGGCAATGTTACATAGTGGTAAATAGCCTGGGTGTCGGGAGTTGGGTGTATAGCTCAGTGGTAGAGTGCCTGCTGCCACATACACGGCCGTGGGTTCAATCCCCAGCACCACCAGTAGACCTGTTTCTGAGTTTAATACCTCTCCACCTACTAGTTCTGTAACCAGAGTTATTTAACCCCTTTCTGTTCATTGGGAATGAAGTTACTCACCTGAGATATTGAGATACTGTAACAGAGTCGATGAAACCATGCTGACTAATGCCCCAGTTGTTCCTCCAGAGGGCCTCCTGTTGTAATCCATTCTGACCTCAGGCTAAACATGCTTTTAAATGCATTATTAAACACACAAGAGGCCTTTCAGTGGTGGCACATGCCTTTAATCCCAGCACTCAGGAGGCAGGGGCAGGCGGATCTCAGTGAGTTTGAGGACAACCTGGTCTGCAGAGCAAGTTCTAGGACAGGCTCCAAAGCTACACAGAGAAACCCTGTCTCAGGAAACAAACAAACAAAATAAAACACACGAGAAAGTTTAAGGGCATCTACATGCCTCCCTAGCCTCCCCAAACCCAAATGCAGAACAAAAAGCAGGATCCTAAAACCTGTAAAGATCACATACTGATGCTTAGAACCAGAGCCAGCCTCTAGACTCAGCGTGCCCTACCTCTGTTGAACCTGAAGAAGGGGTTTCCTGTGGTTAAAGACCAGGAGCAGCCGTGAGTGTCCAGCAGAAGCTAACGTAAATCCATGCAGGGAAACGATCTCAGAGTCCTCATTTATCTTGTTCAGACAAATGTGGTCTCTTAAGCAAGCACTTCAGTACACTCTAGTCATTGATAATGATCATCTTCAGAGACAGAAGGCAAACAAAATAATCACCAGTATAAATGCCTGAGAACTTACAAAATTGTCAGGTAGGCTAAGTTACAAAATATGAAATCATCATAGCAAAACATGATGAGTCAATAGAGAATTTTTTTAAAAAGTTGAAAATGAATAGATGTTTTAGAAACGCACAGAATAATTGCTGAACCTGGCTAGACACAGCTGGAGAGAGAATTGGTGACCCGGAAAGCAAAAGTGAGGATTCTCCCGGTATTAACCTTAAGGCACAGCTGTGTGACTTCACAATAGACACGGATATTTAGATGTTAATAATTAGTGAACAGTATCACCAGTGAGTGCTGGACAGGGCTTGAAAGGATTACACCTAGGGGTGTGTAGCTGATATCACAGATAAGCCGTTACGGGGAGAGAGGTGACTCCAAGAGGTGAAAGGTGAACTTGCATTTGAATTATTCAGTTTTTTTTTGTCAAAGAAGCAACTTAAGGCAGGAAGGGTTTATATTGGTTCATGATTTTGGAAGGTACCGTCAACCACGGTAAAAAGCATGGTGGTAAGACAGCCGCATGGTACCACGGCAGCAGAAATAGACTAGTGGGTGGTGCAGCTGGAGCTGAGGCAACTGGTGGCTTTTCATGGGTAAATCAGGGAGCAGAGAGCTAGGGTTGAAAATGGGGCTGCCTTATGTATCTCAAAGCCTGATCCAAGGGACCCACTTCCCAGTGAGACCTCCTGAAGACGCCACAACTTCCTCAGACAGTGTCTTAGTTAGGGTTTCTATTGCTGTGAAGAGACACCAAGACCACAGCGACTCTTGATAAAGGAAAACATTTAATTGGGGTGGCTCACAGTTCAGAGGTTCAGTCCATTTTCCTCATGGTGGGACATGATGCTGGAGGGGGAGCCAAAGACTCCTGCATCTTGTGCAGGCAACAGGAAGTGAACGGAGGCACCGGATGAGACCTCAAAGCCCATCCCCAAAGTGACATGCTTACTCCAACAAAGCCACGCCTACTCTCCTGAGGCCACACCTCCTAATAGTGCCATTCCCCATGAGCTTATGAAGGCCAATTACATCCAAATTACTGCATTCCACTCCCTGGCCCCGATGGAACAACATCATAACGCAAATGCATTTCATCTGACTTCCAGAGTTCCTATAGTCTGTCACAGTCTCAACTATGTTTGAAAGTCCAAAGTTCAAAGTCTCTTCTGAGATTCATGCAATCTGTTAATTTTAATCCCCTATAAAATCAAAATAATAAAAAAAAGATCACATACCTCCAACATACAATGACACAGGGTATACATTGAAGCACAGTGAAGCAATACCAGACTAAAGCGAGACCAAAACCCTCTGGCAAACTCTAAACTCTACATCTCCATGTCTGATGTCAAAGCGCTCTTGAGATTTCCAATTCCTTTCAGATCTGTGGACTGTAACATACTGTTTTGCTCTTGGGCTGGTTTCACTCCCTATTAGCAGCTCTCCTCAACGGTTTCCCAAGGTCCTGGCATCTCCACTGTCTTGGAGTATCCAAGGAATGCAACAGCTTCTCTAGGCCTCCATTCGGGGACATCCATCAGCTTCAGTGGCTTTCCTTAGTCACAAAGAGAGATTCCATAGCCCCTTTCTTCTCTCCTTGACTCTGAAACCAGAACCTCGTGGCTGAAGTTGCCAGGTTCTGCTGCTTGCTGGGGCTGGAACATGGCCCCCCTCATTCAATTACATCTCCGCCAGCTTTTTGTTTTCCACAATTTCCTTTCACTTCCTGAACTTGTTGTGGGATTTGCTCTGTAGAACAGGCTGGCCTCAAACTCAGAGATCCATTGGCCTCTACTTTCCCAGTGCTGGGATTAAAGGTGTGCGTTTAATTCCTTTTCACAAATTGGAAACTCAGCAGGGTGGGGTCTTGGCCTCTGGTCACCGCTCCCTTTATTGTATTTCTTCATCAGTTTGTCTCCCAGGACGTAGGATTTAGCTCCATTCCACTTCCTGGTGCTCTGGTCTCACATTGTCCTACATCTTGCTTTTTCTTTTTTTTTCTTGCTAAGTGTCCTCCATTTTATTATAAATCTTCATCAGAGTGACCACTAATAACCACATGGCAGAGACTACGCTAGGCTGTTAGGAGATTTCCTAGTCCAACAGAATTTATCCAAACTCTTCACTATAGCTTCAGTCAGACTCTTTGGACAAGGCAAAGGCAGCCACATTCTTCACCCAAACGCATAAGAACAATCGCGAGGCCACATATTAATATTCTTCTCCTCTGAAGCCTCTTGAGCCAGCCCCCCACAATTCAAATCACACTCAGCACCACTGTCTTCCGTGCTTCTACTAGGATGGCCCGTTAAGCAG